AAACCAAAGGAGTTGCTCAAACCATGACCAAGAACATGACTTGAAACATGATATTGATATATGGCCAGGAATTTACATTTGGATCAACTGACGTCAAAATGTTATCGCTAACTCAAGGACACAAAATGTTGGAATTAAATAAACAGTATATTTTACTGAAGTCAATATTTACATGATGTACTAAACATGGGCATTTACATAAAAAAAGGTCTTATTAAAGCATTTAATGCCTATGACAATCATGATAAGCATTTCATCATAATTGATATATACCCTTTGCATTCGTTTGACTTCACTTCTTAAAAGAGAGCTTCGTCTTCACTCTTTCAAACTTAAATAAACCTCTGAACTCACCGCGCCAATCAGTATTCGTCGGCCAAATTTGACCGACGTTCTATATATGGTCATTCCTTCTGACGTCATCGTTGAGCCCGGAATTGACCAATGACACGCGCGTATTCAATTAGAACACATTTGGCGTATGTTTCTTCAAGCTCGCTGATTAGTGGAAGAAAGGTCAGTGCGTAGGTCAGAAGTGATTTATTACCCAAACTGTCACCGGTACCCGTCGTGGGGGCGGGGCTACTAAACTGTAATATGGTCTCTACTAGGCAGAGTGTAGTTTAACTAGACTCTGCATGCAGGGTAATTGATATAACATTGATTTAAAAGTTCAACTGGATAACACTAGCAACACCAAAGCGTAGCAATTACCATCAAACAGCCATGGCTGCCATTTTTGGAAATGGCATTAGCCAATTTGTCATTAGACAGTGTAATATGCTTATAACTAATGACACAACAAAATAGTTCCACTACTTTTTTAGCTGGCAAAAAAATGTAAAATAACACATATAAAAATGGCCAGTATGTTTCAAAATGGCTGCTTAGTAGTAAAAATGTCATTGGAAAATGTAATATGTTCAAATAAAAAAAATCAACAAAATCGCTCTTTTACTTTTCCAGTTATAGCAAAAATGTAAAATAACATATGTCAAAATGTCCACCATTTTTCAAAATGGCCACTGATTAGCAAAATTGTCATTTAAGGAAGTGTAATATGCTTCTAAGTAGTCAACTACACTAGGACATCCCCTATTTCAACAATTATGAAATTATGAATCTGAACATTTCTGCATATCAATCTTTTTTGATTGCACCTATTTTTGATGTCATGAGGATCAGGTGTCACTTTTTTTAGATAGTATTTTTTTATGATAAGGAACATGCTGGCATGCTGAATGTCTTACTCTTGTTTGCTTCCACTTTTTAGTCTTAGTAAAATGCACAAATAAAAGCTATAGATGTTAGCCTTGCAATCTTAGGATTTATAGTTATAGGCAGAGCTAAATGTATGGTATAATGTTTAATTTTTTTGCCACGAAAACACTAGATCAATCTTTCAAAAGCCAATGCATGAATTTGCTGGAAACATAGACACCTTATCACTCATAAATCCTATAAGGATACATCCAGCTCACATACATTAAGCAGCTATTCATGATAAACCAGACAACATGCCAAGAACAGGCCATAAAATGTAAATGATTTCTCTGATGACATACTTTTAAAATAACATGCGTTTACATGAAAAATATATCCTTTAGAGAATGGATTTGCATATTTTACATACCCTGAACAAAAAGTGTAGAGTTCAATGTTACAAAGTCCACCTACAGAGTTTGAGATGTAGAAAGGAAACAAAACCAAAACTATCCTCTAACACCAGTTTGTAGATTTCACATGCAATATACATGTAGGAAACTATCACACTATACTACATTGTTGGTAGAGAACCATGAGGAAAATGTCAACTAAAGAGGGGTGTTCTCAAATAACACTAAAACAATAACTAAAACTGAAGTACAGTATATGAAAAATAGGCAATCTTCCAAAGACACAAATAACATTTGAAGTACAAGTAATTAATTGTTTGTTTGATAAACAAAATAAAATAAAGATATAGACTTATTTATACCAAAAGGTTACAATATACATCTGCATTTGCATGATGAGAAGTTTTTGTAATTTTGAAAAGAAGACCGCATTCTCAAGAAAAAAAATAACACTCAATTAATAATCTGGGTACACTAAAGTACCTTTTTATAATAATAAAAATGAAAGATTTAGCCTATGATTGTTGTGTTCATCTTAAAAAAGCACACAGTCATCAAAATGGTAGAAAGTACAGATTGTCCTTAAGCACACCTAATACAATTCACTTGAAACCCTCAAAGGTATACAGGCACAGTAATAAGAAAAACATTTACGTGTAATTGAATTTTATCCTTTTTAATGGTTACAACATATGTTAAATAAGATCCGTATATTCATGTATATTTTCTACAATTTAATAGTTCCTGGAAAAAGTAATAAATTAAATTTTCTACAAACTTAAACTGATTAAAAATGAGTGCCCCATGACTCGCAAACATGACACCCGCTATATGGAAGGCATCCATTTGATGAAGTGATTTCTCTACTTTCTCCTTTCTATTTTAACGCAGAGCTCTGTACTAGCTAGTTTGCTAACATTTCTGAAGCAAGGATATTGATTAGACCGGCAGACAGCTTCAATATACTAGCATAAGCCTGCAAAGGTATATGTATGTATATATATAGAGATATGTACGTGTACAAAGGCAATATGATTTACTAATAGTATAGATCTGAAATAAAAAATACATTTCCGTTTTTTACCTTTACACATAAAACCAGGAAGAAAACTAACATTATATAAAATGTTAGTAACTAAAAATAAATTCTGATTTCTGTTTGTTAAAGTATAGCACATGATGTAGACTTTGGACTAAACCTTGACTTGTTTATGACTAATGCTAAGACAGCCTTTTGTTAAATTAGATTAAGGGCTTATTTCAAATGACACAAAAATATCACTTTTCATTTTGTAGTTTTCTACTAGAAATAAGAAAGTACAAATGCCAACATTTTATATACATTTAGCATCAAATTGCAACAATGTTCTTTTATGATCTAAACATCCGTATTCAAGTTTACTTAAGTTACTCACTTCAAGAGCCATGTTAGATTTTGAAACTTATGCATTTTATTTTGTATGAATTTAGAGTTATTAGACTATATGTCTAATTCACATCTTAAAAATCAATATCTATCTAATATACTAGTTTGATAATATCGGGCCATTACTCAGTTAAAGTCATCAAGTTTATTGAGAATAGAAAACAAGAGAGGTTATACAAGGAAAAAAGAGAAAACACCAACAAACAATATTTAATTCATTTATTTGATGACTGTGCTATGATATGCAATTGTACCTTTAAGCTTGCCAAGCTGTTTACTTAATCTTTTGAATAATTAATTCCTAGGATTATCACCAAAATAATTATGATTTCTTGTTATCTAATTTATCCGAAATAACTGTTAAAATATATATTATATACCTAACATTTTATAATTATCATAAATTTGTGATTAAAAGACCACTCTATATTTTGTTGTTTCAAAATGGCTTATATTTCTTATTTCTTTTAACTGAATATTTGTTGATTCTGCAAAATATTCTTTAAAAACGAATTAGAATGAATACAAATCAGGGAAAGTTTGAATGGATTTGCAAAAAAAGTTGTGTTATTTATAGATTTTCTTTTATGTTTAACTCAGTTTAAATTATAACTGGGCCTAAAGAAGACCTTTTTGTACTGATAGAGCTATCAAGAATAAATATTGCTTTCAAACCAATTATAGTGAAAGTTGTCAAACATCTAACATTTTAAGTTACAAATTATTTGTACCTGCAGTTAAAATTATCATTGACTCAAATATGTTTTTCAATCTCAGCACAGATAATACATATTTATTGTATTGAACATGTCCAATTCTAAGTCATTGAACAATATTATATTCTTTTCATATGGTCCCTAAATATGAGCAAATAGAACCGTCATGTTTCAGTCAAAAAATACTTCTAAAAATATTTTTAATGATTATTTAATTGTGGTGGTGCTACCATTGTGATTTTCAGAGAAAATTATCATTGAACTTTTTATGGTAACGAAATTCTCAATTTCCCAATTTCATGAAGCTGATTAGTTTACTCAGTGTTATGTCTTTGGTCGTTTTACATCTTGTATTTTAATTTGAAACGTGTTTGTGAATAATTGTTTTTTGTTAATTGATAACGTTCATTAAAATACAACTTAAAAATACTGATGAACTGAATGTACGTGTTCATGGCACGATGACCTATCATGCATTTGATTGAATGTATGAATATCCTCTGTGCTATTCAAAATTACATGCAGTTCAATGCACAACCTCCATCTTTATTCCAATTTTATTAAGTCATCCTGATTTCCTCAATTAGAAACCCTAATTATTCATCTAAATCAAATTTTGACGATACAATTTTTATTGTCAATAGCTAAAACAAATACTTAAAGCTTTGTCTTTCTATTTAGATAAGAGCATAGTTGTTTTTTAAACAAGATATTTGTTGCGAAATGAGGTCACTGCGTTATTTTCATGACGAATTTTAAAACGTTGAATCGGGAGCAAAAATCCCATATAAATATTATCTCTTTTTACAAATTAATTCGACAATAATGTCCCTGAAACAAACTGTACATGATAGAACAAATGTATTTTTATAAATTGGTGTATATGTTTTTATCTCATATTTTATTCAAACTGAGTAATTTGCAAAAATATTTTGTTCAAATTCTTACCAAAAAGAACGATCGCCATTTGCAGACACGAGAAATTCATACACTTCAGAGGGAGTGAATGGAATAGCGAGCACCTGCTGCCCTCCCTCGACCTCTCACGTTTCTCGTTCTTTCATTTGGCGGATAATCGTTGAATAAATTGGTTTTGTTGTAATTTCGGTATCTTGTTTTAGTAAACGATGGAAACTTACAGAATTTTAAACATCAAGAACTGAGCAATTTCCTTGTTCCTAAAATTGAACCAAAGGGAGACTATTACCCATAACCCCTTGCAATGTTTTCAATGACGTCAGGATTTAAAGAAGTATTTGTTTTGATTTCGCAGTTGTGAAAATCAGCTGAATTCGTCTCTTACCTGCACAGAGCATAAAAGTTGGTAAGTGATGCCGTTTAAATGCATAAGTATCTTCAAGTTTGCATAGCATTTCCATCAATCAAATGGCTTTTAAAGCTGATATTCTGGAGTGTTATTGCAGATTTTTCAGATCAAATTCACAATGGCTGCATTTGTTGATCAGCTGTTCAATGTATTTTTCTTTGGGGTGTCCTTCTTGGATATCACCATTGAGACTACGAAAAAGTGTTTGATTTGATGCTTATACTTTTTCTAATACGTAATGCAACATATCGTATGTTAACATGTACCCAATGTCAGGAAGTCGAAATTGCAACATCGATCATTGAGTCACGCCATGGGGCTTTCAAGAGAAGCCCATGGTCACGCATCCAAATATCAGTCCCAAAGTCATGTGACAGAAATATCGAAGATGACTTTCCTATCAGTGTGCATAATGTACCATATGAAAGAAGCATGTAATCCAAGAAATAGTGTGCTAGTACTGCCATCCTGAACAATATTGTATTGTGTTAAAGATGTATTGGTAAACTTTTGGCTAATGGCTATAGTATCGTTCAACTAAACCATCCATGATGATCATGGGCATCGCCAGGCACGAGGCAGGTTAGGCAACTGCCTTACTAAAATTTTGCAGAAATATTTTTTCAGACATTTTTCAACTGACATTGTAGAAATGAAATCCAAATGTAGCATTATACTCCTTTAGCCTCACTTTGCCTCATTGATTTTTGCCTCACCAAATTTTGGATCTTGCCTCTCCCCGGTTCACTACCCAGATAGCACAAAGAAGTCGGGCCAACGTCGCTATTGGTGGCCATTGTTGGCATAGTCGCAGTTGGCAAATTGTAGTTGGGCCAATGTTGGCCCATCGTTGGCTGCCGCTAATACCAGGGAGCCAACAATGGCTGTACAAAAAAGTAAATTGTGCCAACAATGGACCAACGTTGGTTCTTTGGTGGCTGCCAATGTTGGGCCAACGTTGGCAGCTACTGTTGGCCCACTGGCCGGCATGCTGTTGGACCAACGTTGGCCCAACGTCGTTGTGCTATCTGGGTACTTTATAACTAAATGTAACTCAATGGAGCTAGTCTCATCCAAAATAGTGGACAAAATTAGTTCATATCAATATATCAATTTCATCTAAATCTCTGATTCCAAATATTTCGCCATGCATGCAAACTAATATACATGTAGTTTGAGAAATGCTGAAACGAGCCAAACTCGGAGAATTTGAAGAAGATTGCTTTGCTAAGAATAAAGTGGAACTCAAGTGGAAAAAGCTCTGTATCAAATTCTTAGAGCCTGCATCCATGATATAAATACAGTCTGGAGCACATCATGAACAAAATGGGTTAAGGATTTAAGATCTGGACTGCATTGTGTGCTGAATCATTTCTCTTGATGGTGTTGTTTTCAAATCTTCACATGACCATGCAGCAGGAAAGCAAAGTTTAGGAAACAACGCCTGGGTAAATCAAGTCCTGGGCTTAAATTCTTTTCACACATTGCAAAATGTTTTCTACAAAATCACCTGAAAGATACAAAATCACTAAAAGAGCATATTTTTAATAAAACTTTTTTGCAAGGGTCAAGTTGGCAAAGCATCAATTTTAATCCATGTAGTCTAGTTGTCACTTTGACAACCATTCAATGATCAACCCTGAGTGTGGTGATTGGTTTTATATTGCACTGCAGTTATATGAAATAGCTTTGTTCAGATTGGCTTGAATCGGACACACATTGCAGTCATTGCCTAGCTGTGTGTGTGAATAAACTTTCTTTGATACCTGTATGGGTATTTCTAGCATGTTTGAACATCACCTAAAGTGAACCTACCAATGGGATTTTAACATGGGAGAGCCATATTTACCAAAAGCGAACCTAAAATATTTTACCTAAAACGAAACCTATTGATCTGGGAAGAATTCAGAAATATAGAAAAATCACAATTGAAATGATAATTGACACTCAAAATATGATAAATAATATTTTATTGTTTTGGTCTCTTGGGGAGGGGGTTAATTAATATCTTGAGGTCTTCACCCAAATTAAATGTAACATTTAGAAGGCATTGAGAAAATAGAAATCCAATATTGTTGTTATCTTCAATCAATTTCTTATGAGATTGGTCCTGTTTGGAAGTCATTTTGTTGACAGTATCTACTATTGTGTTGTTCAGAATTCCTTCTCATATAGTCTAATAAAAGACATATACTCTAGTACATCAACAGATTAGACAGCTGTCTGTGGAATTTCCTGATCAAGAAGACATTGAGTTAAGTTCAATTCATTTGAGTGAAGGCGACTGGGTTAATCTGAATTCCCACATAGCTAGGCAAGATGTGTCTGATTCCAATCCAAACAAGCTATTTCATATAACTGCATTGCATTATATAACCAACAATCCATCCAAGGTCATTTGTTGAATGGTTATCAAGGTGACAACTTGACTCTACTGATTGAAATTGATACTTTGCCAGCTTGACGCTTGCGAAAAGGTTCATTGAAAATTTGTTCTTTTAGTGATTTCATATCTTTTAGGTGTTTCATAGAAAATATTTGGCAGTGTGTGAAAAGAATTTAAACCCAAGACTCAATGGGCTGATTCATTCCACTCATATGCTGTTTCCTAAATTTAATTCACTTGATTCTGCGAGTCTCGTTCAAAGGTTGAAACAAGAACTTTTTTAGGAATAATCAGTCCACAATGCACTGAGTCCAGAATTTAAGCCTTAGATATAGCATCTAGAGCATGACTGATATTACCATGCATATTTATGAATATTCTCAACCCCCCTTCCTCTTCCTCAAAATAGTGCCTGTACTGCTGCGAATGACAGGTTATGGGGTATTAATGTTTTATGATTGTTGCACAGGATATCCATATGGGACAAAGGGAATAAGTCTTCGTTAGCTTTTCCTATTCCCCTTCCTCCCCACTCTACTATATACACTTCACCCCCAGAAGAATTATAGCATGAAAACACATCTTATTTTGGTACTGTTTTGAAAAAAACATGGCTCAACTGAAAAAAACTATTAAAATTGACATATTTCTCAACATTGGGTTACATTTTGTTCCTCTGCATTGACTCCAGTAATTATCTGTGCAAGATGAATATTCTCAATCTCAGAGTGATCATCATACAGAAGCCTTTGCCAGAAAGTAATTTGTTTAATTGTTATTAGAATTCATTATTTCTCAAGTGTTGTTTTTACCATTCATACTTATATGACCTCATATTTGAGATAAGTATTTATTGAAGTACAGAAAGGTCAATGATGTTAGTATCGGATAATATTTGGTTCATATAGTGTGCCTATAGATGGGATATTGGGTAAGCGTTCATTCATTGATCTGTCCCATTATCTGTCCATCTGTCTGTCATTATTGGATGCAAATTAAGAATGGTAATTTTATTATATCATAATGCAGATTTATTTTATATATATCCACATATCTATATGACCTGTTATTGCCATTTCCGAAATTCTCTTGGTTTTATCGAGAAAATGCTGACTTTGACATTAAAGTTATATTTTGTGAATAGATTTCAATGTGTTATTAGATTATGTAATGTCACTATAATGATAACCCCCTCCTAGCATCCAACCTTTCTTTACGAGGGTTATCTCACTTCAACCTCATATTAGAGTTTTGGGATAACTATTGTTTGGCTTTGAGCTTTAGTAAATAAACACAATTATTTACATCCTGTTTATGTTATGTCGACCTCCATGAAACATTAAGCTGAGATGAAGTTTTATTGATATATCAGTTGCATAGTGTTATAGTTAAGTCTTTAATCTCACTGTGCATCAATATTGTAATCAAATATCACACTAATATAACATATGAATTTTGGGATCTTCGCATTTCTTTGTGACATAATTTGAAATTAAGTCACAAAGTCATTAATTTGAATTTAATTTGAAAATGAGTCTTATTTCTATGGGCCCTAAATTACTTTAAAAGAAATTAAATATTTCTGCTCATAAGTTATTTTATTATTTAATATATAATAAGTTATTGAATGATTTAAAGTGCAATACAGGATATATTGCACTCAAGAAATTCTGTATTAGCACGAGATGAAGTCGAGTTATCCTGTGATCTTACATTTTACTTAAGAGATAATCCCTAGGAGATATTCTGACTTGCTCTGAGATTGTCACCTCCCTACCAGTATTTTCTGTATTGTTACAGAGATGATCAATCCCATACCAATACAAGGTAGGGGACAATCTCATTAGCAATACAGATTAGTACTGCAGAAGAAATGACCAATCAGAGAGCTTCATTTAACAGATTATACAATAAAATTATATATTGTACAGAGATATTGAATTTTAATGGTGAGGGACACATTTGTCTGAAAATTTCTTCCAACATTTTGTAATCTACATAATATTTAAAGAAGCAGCAAAGAATATACATATGTAGTACATATGTAGTACATATGTATATTCTTTGCTGCTTCTTTAATGTACATGTAATAATGTCTTTGTTTTCCAGGTAGTCTCCCTGCTGACTTTAATTATTTCATACAGAAGGCAGTCTCCTTAAAGTGTTGGATATAAGTGTTAGGCAATGAGAAAGATTGTACCTCAACAGGACTCTTAACACGTGACTTAATCATTTAGGCCTGTCAACATAAGCCATCTTAAAACTGCATAAACTGAGGGTATACTCGCAAAGGCCTCTCAACTTAGGCCCCACAACATCACATATTTCCTAAACCACAGGCCTTGAAGCATAGGCCTTGGAGTGAATGCTCTGACCATGGGTGGAGCAGTAAGCGCAGGAGAAGACAATGGAGACCTTATTGATAATCTAGTAGATGCAGACTATATTAAATCCCCAGGTGTTGAGCGTGTCTTCAGAGCTGTTGACCGGGCGGAGTACTACCTGCCTGACCACAGAGAGAGTGCATATAAAGATCTAGCGTGGAAGCATGGTAATTTACATTTGTCGGCACCATGTATATACTCGGAAGTTATGGAATCTTTGAATCTGAGACCTGGACTGTCATTTCTAAACCTGGGGAGTGGAACAGGATACTTGAACACTCTGGTCTCATTGACACTAGGTAGGTAACTGGTATATACATTTCAAGAAGTAGAGTTAAGGTCAATGTTTATGTTGTATTTTGATGCAATCCTCATAGAGTCACATGTTACTTTTCAAATTTCAAATGGACTCCTCCTTCCCCACATTGTCAACATTTTTCAGTTTTGCACAAAGAGTGTGTACCTTGAGTAATGTACCTTGAAAAAAGTGTGTAGAATATTTGGTTTATAAATTGTATGAAAAATGAGAAAATTGTGACCTACTTTTAACCCCAACCTCATTCTCTAAATAGAAAATTGAATGATCTTCGATATGTTTCAGGAGCATACGGTATCAACCATGGAATTGAGATTCACAAAGACGTGGTTGAATATGCGCAAGAAAAACTTGAAGACTTCAAGAAAAAGTGCCAAAGTTTTGACGAATTTGAATTTTGCGAACCAAGCTTCGTGTGTGGCAACTGCCTATTACTGGCTTCAGATTGTCCCTTATATGACAGGGTGTACTGTGGAGCAGCGTGTCCCCCAGAACATGAAAACTACATGAAAAACCTGATTAAGGTTAATGGTGTGCTTGTCATGCCTTTAAATGACCAGGTAATTTTGATCATGTTTCATTTTGTTTGTTGACTTTATTGTTATGTCACCACCAAAAGTGGCATGGCACAACTGGAAGTGGTGACATATTGTTATTGTCTCCAACCTTTTTGTGGACAGTGTTTGACATTTGGCAGCCAGCAGCTGTAACAAATGGCAGGCAGGGTGACATTTTCCATTTAATGATTTGTTATGTAGTCGTAAGACGCCACAATTGGCAATATTACAAAAACTCAAAACAATCCAGAGTCAGATAAAGCATAAAGTTGAAAGAAAATTATAAGTATAATTACCTTTATGCAATATCAAGGAAACAGCTAAATTTTAAAGGTGCTCAAATATCTTGTTTAGTATGATTATATGTACATCAAAATTCATTTTATTCATTGTTTTTTCATATATTTCAGTTGCTGCAGATCACGCGAACAGGAGAAACCACTTGGGAAAAGAAAAATGTGCTCCCTGTGTCATTTGCCTCTCTGATAATACCCCAGGAGAAACAACTGACAGAAACTGTCTCATTGCGTAAGTGTAGATATATGATATGCATGAAGAGGAATACAAATTACATTAAAGGACCCATGTAAAGCTCTTCAGTATATATATTGCAAATTTTGCACAAGGAATTTAATCAACGGTGAATCAAGTGTGATTTTTAGCTTAATCCCAACATATGATGTCGTGATCATTGCCTTGATGATTTGCCATATAAGGTAATAATGGCGGAATTTGGTCACGTGACTAGTCAAACTTTGGTCCATAGAACGAATGGCTCAGTCCACTTTGTTGGGGCCCTTCGCCAAAAACTAGTGCATAAATAATCACAATATAATAGCTTATTGTAAGAAAACCCTTGATACAGTAGCTTTGTTTACCTATGATAGTATTTGACTTAATAATCTATTCGAAGAAAGCATTGTTGTAAATGATAGCATCAAAATACTGTGTTCTTAGCAGTGCACAGATGTTTGGAATTAAAATATAACTGTAATGTACCCAGCTGTGCCAATTATGTTGTATTGCTAAATGCAATGCATTGAACAATTAGTCATGCTGTTAGCTTGTAGAATGTCATATTCAGTTGATATCTGTAAAATCATTTGTGTGAAGTTGATTCACATTTTGCTTCTCGGTAGGATTAGTGCTCTTTACTAACATTGCCTTTGAAAAACATGTAGTGTCTTTTTATGTCACCACCAGTAGTAGTGATATATTTTTTTGTGGATGGTGTTTGGTTGTTTGTGTTTGGCAGTTGACAGTTGGTGGTGATATTTTGCATGTTAATGCCTTGTCTACATAGGTCTTGAGGTATAAAATCATCCATCTCTGTCAAAATAAATCTACTGAAATCCTATAATAATGAATGTATATATAATGTTCTTCAGCTGAGGTGAATGTGCTGAGTCTCCAGGAGTGTTGCAGGTCTACAATACGTAGCATTCTTCGAGACAACATCACCAAAGAACACCCAGAAATATCTAAGAAGAAAACTTGTGGAAAGCGCAAAACCCGTGGTAGATCTCGGGGGGTGAGCATCATGCCTATGCCCATGGGAATGATGATAATGGGCCAGTATGATAGCGACCGTGATGAGGAGACTAACAATGAATCCTCCAATGATGACTGTATGGATGGTGGAGATGGCCGCGAGATGTGTACTTTGGAAGAGTTTCTGCATAGCGAGAGGAGACGCCAACGCGAACAGAGAGAAACGCAAGCTGATGAATCAGAACATACAGCCGAAGATGATGATGGAAGGGAATGTTGTAGTGTAGAGGAGTTCTTGGGGCGTCATTCTAATCGAGAAAGAGGAACAACGGTATCCTCCATGGAGGGCAACATCGAGATTGAGGAGGAAGACGAACCTATGAAAGACATGAATGTGGTTGATAATGCAGTGCAATGTGCACTTCCTAAACCTAAAATTCTTAAGCGTAATGGTAAAAATGATGTTAAGCTGAATGGGTCAAATGATGTAAAGCCAAATGGCTCTAATGATGTAAAGCCTGGTAGTTCAATTGAAGAAAAAGCATGTGAGTTAAAAGATGTTCTCGGCTCGAATGGAAAAAATGGAGGAAATGGTGAAATTAAAACAAATGGACGCAAAGGTCCAAAAGCTACTAAGTGTGAGGTCGATATACATGTACAAAACAGTGAAATGCATACATCAGACATTGATGATAGTGATGATGGTAGTGCTATAAGGCCTCGCCAAGTTAAACAAAATAAGAGGAAAACTCCACGAGTTGAAGACAATGCAATGGACACGATTGAGCCTGAGAGCTCAGAAACAACTCCATGTGTAAATACCAGTCATAAGAAAGACACAATGAAGACATTGAAGCCATCTTGTATTCCATTTATCGAGGACATATCGGAGGAAGAGATTGATGATGTGGCTGAGATAAGGAGTACAGAGGTCATGTGTACATCTCTGTCTCCCTCCATGAAAACTTATATGGCTGAGAAAGTGGACATGTTACCTATACCCCAACCACTTAAATCGTTTATTCTCTACTACAGGGTCTGAGTAGAGATTTGAGTGAAATAGTTTGGACATTTTTGCTTGCATAAGAAATAAACTTGTGCAATGTATAAATAAGGAATATACAGTTTGTAAATCGAGATTTGGAAGCTTATTTCCTTGAGGGATCTGTATGTAAATATGTCTAGCTACAAGCCCCTTTGACCTTTGACTTCACCCTCATCTCCCACTGATTGATGACACAGGTATGAAAACTTCTCACAGAGGGAGGTGTGGAGGTGTGTACTGGGGGGGGGGGGGGCAAAGGCTCGTATCTAGACTAGAAAATAAGGTCAGTAGCAAAGTATATATTTGTGCTTAGAATTGGAAGTCTAAACTAACAGAAGCAATATTTGTGCAAATTGCAGATTTTTGACAATTAAGAGTGCACCAAGAGTACGTAAGATTGATTCATATCGTGATCTCATTTAATTTCATGGCAGAACAGAATATCGATGAATTGAAGTGGAATCTTGCCTCACTGAGAAAAAAATTGTACAAACAGCGAATGCAGAACTCTTGGTGACTTAGGTCGCTTTCTTCTCTTGCTTTCAATAAATGCTTGTATGATATAAATATATTTGACAAACTCTATAAGAAATGTGAAAATAAATGTTGATAGAGTAAAACCTGTTTAATTCGAATGCTACCATTACTGGCCGAAAGTGTTCACGTTGACATGTGTTCACATTTCTAAGTTTTTTAAAATGGTAGTCCATGGCAGATTGAAAAATGGGACTGAAAAACAGTGTTCACATGAAAAGGTATTCAAACAAGAGAAGTGTTCAGATATACAGGTTTTACTGTATGCCCATGCTGTATCCAAATATATGATGGTACATTCTTCTGTGAAATATCAGAAGTCACACTGCAGAGTACAATAATTTAACTGTAGTATATCGCTTGTTATATTCCAGATTTAGGTTGTATATACAGTTTGTCTTTGTGAAAGGCTTGAACAGTTTTGCTTTTGCAGTGTGAACATCTCGTCAGTTTCATTATTATTAATTTGCAGTAGATATTCACAAATTTTAATTTATGTCACCACCAAGAGGTGGTGACAGACACCACCAAGAAGAGGTGACAGAAACCACCAAGAAGAGGTGACAGACACCACCAAGAAGAGGTGACAAATGAGTTAACCTATCAATTTATGTGACTGACATCAGTATTCAACAATTCATGTTCAGCATCTGTAATAAATTGTTACATTTCTGTAACAATTTGCAACAGCTGTAAATCAGGTGGTAACATTTTGTCATCTTTTTAAGATGTCTTGTTTGCTTTGTTTTTTTTATTTTAAATGTTGTGTTGTTTATTTTGTTCATTTGATATACAAGATTGCTACCTTTAAAGGCAGAATCAGGGTGACAAAATTCCAAACATGTGCTATTGATCAACCAATATATTCCTTACAATCTAAAATACAATATCTTCCAAAAGAGATCAGCAATATGTTACAAATTGGGGAAGTTATCAAAGATTCAAAGTGCAAAAGTGAGTGAAAATGTTTATATTCACTCAAATTTAAAAAAAAACGCCAATCACATTTAGAAAAAAATAATACAATATTGTAAAAATCTTTAGTTTGCCTGCAATTAAGTATGCACTTTGGGGATTTTTAGAAAATAGACTTGACAAGGAGTGATATGAGCCAAACATATTTGAGATTGAAACAACTTTTTTTTAAAGCCCACCATCTAATTCTACCTTTGATTAAAAGATACTTGGAGACAAATTGCCAAATCAGAGATGTGTTAGTTTCAATGGACATTTGTATAAAAAAATTTGTTATGTGTTATAAATAATTGTTATTATGTAATATGTATATTGTGCCAATTTTCCAAAACTTACTCTTAACTTTGTGCCTGTACCTTTTTAATTCAATAGAAATTGAAAGGAACATTTTCCAACATATGGTAGATCATACATATTACATGTATCCTCCAATCACAGGATTTCAAAATCCAGAATAAGCAGTTAGCATTTCCCTGATTAAGAACTCGCAATCTGATTGGCTGTCGCAACACTGCAACAGAAATCATGTATAAGTCATTGCGCATAATTAGATCACGTGATTCAGTTTAATCGGGCGCTTCCAAATTGGTTATATCAGGGGGAAGAAGGAAGTACGGATTCTGGATACCTGCTTAGGAGGATGCATTACATGACACAGGATAAAATATTGACTAGTCACAAGCTAAAACATTGGTTTTGAAAGGAGAGTCACTTCAGTCTTCTTCCCATTTTTAAATACATGTATGCTGTATTAAAAAAAAAAAAAAATAATGTTTTGGCCAGTATCTACTGTTGTTTGAACACTAAGATTAAATAGCTAACAGAAAATTAAATCTTAAGGTTGTATAGCAACATATGAGAAAGTAAAAGTAGGTTTTACAAACTTTATATTTTGTATTTTCTAAATGTTGAAATTTATAAAAAAAAAACTGTATGTTTTTTATCTGTTAAAATTCTAGTTGACTGTGTTAAAATTTATGTTTTCATTGTTTACGTTGTTGTTTCGTTATCGTTATAATATTATGAATTATATTTTTGTTCATGCCATCTGGAGCTTGTGTAGATTTTTGGTTTGGAACAAAATTGTTCAGTTTTGTAATACAAAATTCTGACCGTAAAATGGCAAACAAACAAGATTATTCAATCAGACTACAGGGTGAACCAAAACATGTCCTGATCTTTTATTTGGTAATACCTTTTTAATAATTCATATATTTTAGAAATATGTGGGATTAAGATGCAAGGGTCTTATTCTGCAATTCTTTCTGAAATGACATCTTCGGGGTTCCTGTATAAGAAAGGTTAACAGACATAAGATGTCTTAATATACACTTGTATTTAAAGCTTGATTTTACACTGATGTTAGAAATGACTCAAATAAAATTGTGCCAGAATAAATGATATTTTGTACAGTCTGTCATTGGGTAGCCTAGGGTGTTAAGCATATTCTGAAATTATTTCCAGACAAAAATGGAAAATTAGAAGTGTCATAAGACATAAGATGGATAAAGAATTAATTCAGTACTAAGAAAGAGGGATTTGGAAAATCTGTCTTTACAGGGGAAGCTGTTTAGAGATCTTATCTGTCGTAAGGAAGAATGTCAAGGTGCTAAATTGAGCCCACAAAATATAAAACTTTCTTTATGATTTTGCTAGTCTTTCCGACCAAACATAGATCATACATAGCATGTCTCTCAGATAGAATGTTTAAGATGTCCATCTGGATGTACATGTATGGCACAACTGAAATTGTAATATCAGATATTACCTTGATTCTGAGAATTTGTTTATACATGAACACTATTGTCTTGATTCATTCAAACCCTGCTATAGGTATTATGCCATTTTTGGATTGATTGTATATTGATTGCTGGATTCCTTGCCAAAATATCAAAACAGAAATCCATGTATCATAAAGAAGATATAGCAGAATAAAAGATGTGACATTTTTTGGCCCACCCTGTATATTATCATTGTGATTTTTAATTTTGCGTCAACATTTTTTGCAGTTTCGTTTATGATTAAGTGCCTTTGTTCAGTCTTTGTTCCAAACCAAAAATGTTCATAACTGAAGCTGTATGTTGGAAATAAATTGTTTGCATGATTTTTTCTGTAAAATCTCAAAAAATTTCAAATCAAGCGAATATTTTTACATGTATTTATAACTGGAAATTTTTTACATGTATTTATAATTGAAAAATACAAGAACATGTAGTTATGTGTGTTATATAAATGTTGTTTTGAAAAGCTTATTAAAGATTATATACGGGATCTCATTGATGTGTGCTCAGAAACAACTACAGTGAAACCGCCGTAAGGTTGCCTTAGATCAAATGTGACTGAGGCATGACAGTGGTCGATATCCAAAACTTTTGAATATCTCATGTATTTCTTTTGTCGTGTAAAAGGTTCATGTTTTCTCGGTTTGGATTACAATCCATTGTATTTGCCTTGATATAACATCCAGCGAGTACGATAGATGTTACTGTTTACATACATTTCAAGTTTTCAAAATGTACATTATAACCAAATTTTTCAAATCCAGTTTGCTTGTATCTTTGCATTGTAAATTATATATTTAGAGTAATAAATTATGATTGAAAACAAAGAGGTTTCATTTACATTGAGCACATTTATTTCCACCATATTGGACAACATTAATTACAATGCTATCTTGATATAACATTATGTCAATTATATACTCCAATTTACCTTATATTGAAAATAAAAAAGCAATGATTGTATTTCTAATCCATGTGTTTCACACTCGATTTAATTTGAATACATAACTTTTTGAGAAGTTAAATCCACAACTATAAATTCTTCAAAAATTCAGCCAGTTCTATGCAATGTACATGCACCAGTCATATTTTCTACTCATTTTTTTTATTTCATAATCTGTATTAGCTGCTTTAAATTAATTCAAAGTACATTTTCATGGCAATCTTGTCAGATCTAGATCTCTTTCTCCAAGTAAGCATGTTCATTTATCAATTTAAATAGGGCTGGCAATTTGAGATCACCAAACATGAATATCTTAAGTGTTGCCCCAAGTCTTCGACCCCTTATCACCAAACAGGACAGGGTGGTGACATAGGGAAAGGCTATACTTAGTATCAAAAACCTTTAAGTTCATTTCTGCATGGTATTTGGGGCATTTAGTTATTTCACTTACTTGAAAAATAAAGCACCGTGAGTCTGTCATGATCAAACATTAAGGTAGACAGTATGTAATAAATTATCAGAAGTTTGTCAAGTTAAGAATTCAAAAGTCTATTGTTCTCTAATTATGACATCATGATTTCCATAGTAAAGACAATTGATTTAAGAATTTTCAAACTGAAGAATATTTTGGTAGAATAAGTGTACCCATCAAATCAGAAATAGACATGTACCAATAGTATTTTCATTCATCCAAAAATTGCCTGACCATGCCCACCTTAAGAGTGTTTACAAACTAGTGAGAAGAAACATACATAGATTAATAAATATTGCACAAAATAATACATCTCATAACAAAGGTCTCTTAGCCCATGATAGGCAAATAAATACTAACTAGATTCTACACTACAATTTACAAATAAATATTTAGCACATGATTTTGACAATAACAATAATAACAAGTGTTTAGGAAAGATACTGTGTATGATATGCGATTAAAATTTTTGGGATTTATACCAGGCAAAATCCACATCATTTACTTGATATTTTAAGGTACGCAGATAATTATTACATGAATCCTAGACACATATACTGACATCAAATACAAAATTCATGCCACTGGGTTCACCTTAGATGACCATTGTACATATGCGTATATCAAGTTTTATTACGTTTCAATCCCTTCTTTGTATGTGCAGGACATCATTCTAACTAAAATACAACTCTAGAGGGTGTGGAATAAATGTCAGTCATTGACAAGTTAGATAAAGACTTGGTCCGAGCTCATTTTTTCAGCTTTTACCCAAATCCAGGATTAAATTTTGACCTGATCAGTACACAACATTTTTGGCGCACCCTGTAGCTGCCTATTGCTAATAAATCTCTAAGCAATAACAAACGGGTAGCAATATTACATGGTGGTCATGGTTTGTGAAACCTATCAACCAATTCAAACTAGACATCTTGTTTTCGTACATGCTATGGGACGTGAATAATGACAGTTTAATTGTAAGTTTAATTGAAAAAATGAAACAAGACTTATGACAAAGTTTAAGGTTTGATTGTTATTTTACCAACTTACAATACAGCAATAGCTAAATGTTCTTCATTGGAGCATACACAGAACTCATACATCTTATGATTAGATATTATTATTATGCTAAGTTCTCCTTATTTCTTGCCTCCATGATATCTTAAGACTTGCTATGTTGTTTCTGATTTCGTGAGAAAATCTCCAATGTTTGTATACATGACATCTATACAAGGAGCTTTCAAAATTAAAAAAAAATCAAAATCAAAAACCTGGCCACCATGCAATATTACTGACTGATTTAACAATTTTACTCACTATATTCAACATCTATATGAAACATATAATAACATTATTCAACAATATCCATGAAAAATTGTCAGTCGCCATGATATTGATATTGTACAATTAATACAGTACAATACAAATTTTCATACAATATTAGCTCATAAGTTCATTTTACAATATACTTTCTGGATTCATAAATACTTGTAACTGTAGATAAAGTGCAACAAATATTGTATTACACTTCAGTTTTTCCCTGCTTGACCCCACTAAAACATTTCAATGCATGCACCATTGGGATAAAAGGCACAAACCCTTTTCCTTGACATAGCACTCTGTACAAGGTTGATCAATAAGTTCTGGGAAAGTCTCCTAATTCAACCATATTCAAGTTTTTGAATAACACTGCATTCATATCCTGTGAAATATTGGTTTCTACATACAAATCCGATAATCAAACTTTTATTGACACAGAACTTGGTTATCAACCCTGAATTGTTAATTTAAGCCATACACTCTACTTTGTCTCTTGACACAAAGTATATCTGAAACACTACTACTATATCAAATATTCACCATTGCAGATCCTAGCATATTATGCAATAAATTACAGTCAGATTCTATAAACCACTGGTACCAGGGTCTTCTAACTCTATGAATATTCATGCATAGAGAATTCTGTTCTCAAACAAAGAGATTCATCTCAACATGGAGAATAGTTTTCAACTACATTGAATTGCAATAAGAATAAATAATCAAATTGTTTTTCATAATATGGTAAATCTGTGTGCAACAGTTTCATTTCACAAATCGTGAAAATCATAAAACAGGCTACTGATATGGTTTTCTGCCATATAATGTAGTAATAATACTATACTTGTCAATGTATATGATCTAAATAGTAATTCCAAAAAATACTAACAACTTGTGGCTAACCCATTTTTTACTATACCAAGAATCATTGTACATTAAAATTTCTTGTATATTAATCAAGCACCGGTTGATCGACGACTAGACAACCTTTATATCAGCAATTGCCTGCTTAACTGCACCATACATGTTGTTATTCTGTGGCCGGTGATAAACATCGAGACAGAAGCGCTTCAACTGAGCGAGATAGTTGTCAAAGTTGGCCTCGGAGAGGGGGATATTGAACTCAGGTAATCTGACCCCCTGGAGTGACTGAATGAGACTGGTTCGCATGTACTTCGCATGGGAATCCAGGTCATTGTTCTGTTCAAAGAGTTTCTGATTGGCCATCTTGTGTGATGAGTATTCGTTCTCCATCCAGGTAATATCTGTACGTAGTTTGAGCAGTTGCGACTCCATATTGTTGTTCTCTCGTCGGAGTCTCTCTATTTCACTATCAAGGACTTTCAAATCTTCATCATTTTTAAATGCTGAAATTATGGAGAGTACAAAATTATACAATGGAATGATACGGAACTAAATACAATAAATTTTCTCAAAGTTATTCTGTGACCAAAGTTCCCCTCCATCCATCCCAGAATGAGGCTGAAACAGATTTACACTGTTAGCATTACTCCCAAGGTGTCCCTATTATATAGATAAGGCAAACAGGCAATAAGCTACAGGGCTCACGCTTGGTTTTTAAGACTGTGGCGCAGCACCAGCCTATTTCCCTCCCACTACAACCTAATGGCAAATCATGATTGTTTCCACAGTCTACACTTGACTGAATATACATGTATAGCATGTAAAAAGGTAAAATATAACATAAATAAGATTTATCATGATTGAACAGTTATGCTGAAGATTTTTCCCAACACCCTAAATATTTCCTGGTGAGAGCCCTGAGCTATAACATAAAACATAAACGATGTACTGTATTTTACTATACTCTCCAACAAATCAAAAATTTTACAACAGGCCCATCAATAACATTGAATTGATAAAGGATTCTTGTATTATATGAATCTAGCAATATATATGAAAAGCCTGTAATGCTACACCATTTAGAAAATATAGAGTGCGATTTCTCACCTGAGGCATCAGGCAGATCATGTTCCAAGTCTAACTCTCCCTCTTGTAGCTTTGTGCTAGCTTTCATGAAGGCTTCTGAGGCTTTGGGGCAACATGATAGACTACGATGACTGGGGTAACTTCCACTCGTATGTCCCGAACCATCACACCCAGGAGTCGGACAACTACAATGGTTTATATACAAATGCTCATGATTTATTTAAAATATAATTTTTGCAAGTACACTAGATCCTACAATACATGTTATTGATTCAACATGTATTGCGATATTCAATGTAAAATTCTTTACTTGACACCATACATTTTAATAGAAAATTATAAATAACATGAACCATCAAAAAAACAACCAATAATATATTTATATCCATGTTAAAAGTACACGGAGTACATATCTAATGTGTACTTACACAAGGCCATCAAACTTGATTGGACGATTCAATATAATGCTGACATTTTCATTTGAAAAGTCTGAGCTGAGATTCGTCATTGAGGTTGCTCGTACCATTTTGTGTTTGTTGGCAATGGGACAGCCAGACGCACTGAAAATATACACAAAGCATGGGTTATGCTGGTTGGATTGATGCTCCGCCCACTCATTGAGATTCTTATCACATAATTCTGTTTATTCAACAAAGAAAATGGTATTTTATTTTAACACATAAAACTTTACAAGGAATAAGAATGAAATATTCAGGGAAACTGTGTATGCTCATTTTGCATATTTTGAGCATTTCCACAATGCCTAATGAGGACTTGGTAAAAATTGTGCTCACATACAACAGAAATAAAGTTCTACTCTACTTGGGTCTGAAAAAACACTGATATACATATATTCAATATATAACCAATATACCGATAGTGCTGAGAATGAATATACAGACAAACAGACAGTTGTGTAAATTGGTGCAAATGTAACTATAGATGGGGGTACAGTACATACATATAGAGGGGGTAAGACATAAATGTAGACAAACAAACTAGGAGTCCATCAGTAATCCTCTTGGTGACATCCTTCCTTAAGATGAAGAGAAGACATCCCTGAGTCAACACTCAAAAACATGATATACCACAATTAAATAAATAAAAAGAAAAGAATAAAGGACCTACAAGGCCTTTAAGCTCACACAGTAAACTTTATAAGTTTCTTATGAAAAAATTCAATAATCCATAGTCTCACTGTGCTAGCCTATTAACAAAAAATAATAAAAAAAGTTTCTTATCTAAGAAAGTTCAACATCCTTTGTTCATTTTAGAACAGAACATATACTTCACAATACAACAAACAAACATATATGTCAACAAAATTTGAGAAACGGTGAGAAAAAATGGCATCATAACAAACATAACATAGATATATTCATAATTTCTTCATTTCCCACACATTTATACAACATATCAAACTAAATAAATCTAAAATAATCAACATTTATTTCTATGACAACAATGGCGATTTGAAGATGTTTGCGTCATATAATATACCTGCGGTGAGATAGATACTTTCCAGTCACATGGCCAATGCCTTCGCACCCGGGAACAGGACATCTATGTTAGCGTGAATGGAATTTATTGTCATTAAGGTAATGCACTCTACACTTTATATGGACATTTTCGCTCTGTTCTTATGAACAGCTATTATGTATATCAAACAATATCTTCTTTATCAAACCTCAAATCAATTTTTATTGTAGTATTTAGCTTTTCTCCCAGTCTTGATTTAATTTATATGATATATTTTAGTTAGAGAGATTTATATAAACCAGAGATGATCAATTGTATTTTTTCGTACAGCACATTACGTTAGTGCTATTCAGTTGAAAGCCACTCACATAAATCCTCCAGTCAAACTTGTAGATGGAAATTCTATAAATGATCAACTTTTTAAAAAAAATTGTTCAAACTAATTTAAACTATTATGAATTATCTAATCTTACCTTAAAGGTTCTGGGGGTTCACCATCCTTGCCAAGCAATTTCTTGGGTTTATTAATCCGAGGGCATCCTGAGAGGCTCCTGTGCGAGGAATAGTTTCCGGTGATATGTCCCGATCCGTCGCAACCTGGCGTTGGACACCTAAAAATGAAAATAACAATTAGAAATATATGACTAATATCCCTAGAATTTAAAATCTATATCAGATTAAATTCTAATCTATTTTACTTATAAATCAAAATCAAAAATTGTCCCAGTGTATTAACACTACCTGAATTCAGACCACAAGAATAGGTTCATTCCTTTTATTTGAACAGTGACAGGTGAATGAAAAACATGCAATTTACTGAATATGATTCACAGAAAAACACAAATTAGCAAGCCATGACAAGCTATTGATAGATACATATGACATATGATAACTAATTTGTCGGAGGAAATGATATTAGCTTATGTAGGTTTTTTTTATAAAGCAATATTGCAATACTAGTTACTATTATATTAAAGGACTAATGTAATCATGTTATGATACAAGATGTCAATAAAAGTTATATATAAAGGCAGAATCTGAGAGAATTTTTTTCCAAAACTATTTTATATTCAGTAGTGTCTCTTAACGTCCATTGTTTACAAAAATACATATTAAGATAGCAACATTTATTATTTTGGAATTAAAGCTATATAAGATGATCCAAATTTTGATTTTATCTGTTCATCAACACACATAGCTCATAGTGTAGCTTTAACATTATATCATAATATAACGTGTGTCTGATGAAGTGTTATCAACAACGTTGTGTTTCACATAACCAAGAAATTGATTGAAATAAAAGAAATAACTTGACACATGGCAGGTGCACCATGTACCACACATGTGAATTGAAATACATAATATGCAGTATACTGAACAAATAAATTATTTTGAACAGCATTTTCAATTTTACAGAGTGCTAAATGTGAGAGACATATAATAATAATCTTACCTTATTTGATATGTATCATTTGAAAGCCCATGTAACTAATGCAGCATGCATTGGCACAACACCAAACACAAAATAGTAAGGTAACACAAATTCTATAATCAACAAAATAGGGATGGGTGTAACAAAGGGAATAAATATGGGGAATTTATGGTTCAAAACAACTTCTCAAATATGAGATATCCATGAAAGAATTATAATGGAAATTCAAATTCTGATATATACAAGTTGCAGATAATGCTTAAAAAATATTTTATATTCTAAAATGGGGTAACTTAGTAACTGGGTGTGTCTAAATCTTGTGTGATAGTTCCACAAGAAAGCCTTAATCCAGCACCAGCAATCAAACCCAAGAATTTCTAATACATGCAAACAATAAGCTATTTAAGACCTAGCCCAAAAGGTATTTTATGCCATCTTCAAATCTAGTCCTGAATACCAGGCTTTCAAATGATACATACCACACAAATATAAAACACATTAAATGTATGAACTATGAAAATTAAACTTAACATGATGAAAATGGGAGAAAAGATACAATTTAACAGAATGAAAGATAAATTAAAAAAAAAAGTGAACTCAAACTAGGAAAGCAGAACTTGTAAAAGGCCTATATAAATACTAGACTTGATCTTATTGGCACCAAATTCAGACAAGGCATTAACATGCAAAATGTCACCATTCTCTGCCATTTGTTACAGATGCCAAACTCAAGTCACCAACCCCCGAACACCAACTGCCACCATGAAAAAGTTGGAGACTTAAACAATATGTCCGCACTTGTGGTGGTGACATAAAAATCAATTAACAGTCAAGGCCTAAAATCTGGTCTCAGTCCGGTTTAGTTTGACATCAATGCATTTACTTCTGTATGGGTACTACAAATGTATGTACATAAGTGTAGTTACATACATGCTACCATAAATAAACTCAATAACAGCTTTGATGTTTATTTATTTACTACAATATCTAATGACAACAATAAATGATATACAGATATCATGATATTTCAAGAGTAATTACAAATATTAGTTCTTGAACATGTTATTTTCTTTTAATATCATGTACTTCACTTTTCCAAATATATACATGTTTACAAAAAAACACTCAAAAGGTTATAGTACAAATGCATTTGTTAATATGAATGTCCCCCTTTTGAATCTTTATAGACTTATATCTATTTTAATTAATACTTAGAAATTGTTATATTTAGCCAAGGTTATACAGTAACTTATATTGTATATGTGATATGATAACTTAACTTACAGTTTGTCAAATGATGTCAAAATTCATTTTCTTTTCTACTTTAAGATATCATTTTGTTTTTGTTGTTACAATATGAAGTCTAACAGACAGCAATAGGAAAATATAATTAACATCATTTTGGTTTTCCTCCCTCCCCTCTGTTGATATTCAAAATAAAATTGCAATTATTTTTGAAACAAGCGCATTGAAAAAAATATACATGAGACTGCTTCTAATGTAATAACTTGACTTCTGAGTTGTTAAATGATAATTGTAACGTACAAATGAAACTATTCATGCAAAAAAGCTCCAAAACGAACAAAAACTAAGAACTAAAACAACAGTTGTATCGTGTCAGACTAAATTTGAACAAATTATATATATAAACAATACAAAAAATATAAATGTTCTGTAATGAGAGGCTTTGGACACAGTGATTGTGACTTTATTCACTGAAGGATAGATCCCATATCCAATCCTGAACATTACATACATAGTTTATCCTATACTTATTTCTTTTCAAATTCTCTAGAATATGGAGATATGTCCCAAAATACACTAACATGAAGATGATTCCATTCAAAAATATAGAAAAAAGTATAGAATAAACATAACTCTCCTAAGTATAGAATAAACATATGTACATACATAAACTAAAGGTATAGAGTAAACATATGTGCATATATAAACTCTCCTCGGTATAGAATAAACATAATGTACATAGATCAACCACAACGAATAGGTAGCTAGAGGTATCAGTCCTTACTTTTGATCACTAGTACTGCCTTGAATATAGGTACGGTCCACCAAGGGGCACCCGGAGAGACTTCGATGGGATGTAAAGTTGCCCGATATATGTCCAGATCCATCGCAACCTGGCGTAGGACAACTCATAGATTCTTTGAACTCTAGTTTAACAGCTGGATCACCAGAGGGCGTGACAGTCTTAATTGGCTTAGGGGAGGGTTCATCTTGCCTTGAAATATAAAATAGGTTGAAATCTGATGAAATGTAATACAAAATAAAAGGCACTAGCTTGCAAAATGTCACCACCTGCCATTTGTTACAGACACCATTTATTACACATGGCATGTTATAGACATCTAATCTAACACCGAACACCAATGGCCATCCACAAAAAGTTGGGAGATTATGACAATATGTACAATTTGAAAAATTTGATATCACCTGCTATGTGAGAATATGGTTTCTAATATGGTTTAAAGAAGCTTCAGCATTGACAAAAATGTAACAATGTAACTGTGTTACTTACTTATTCGTAGTAGTTGACGGGGTGGGGGTATGTGAGGGTGTGGCAGCTGAGAGTTGAGGGCTGCTTGAGAAATCCATTGGCTCTGCCTGTCGACTACTAGGTCGTTTCTCAACACTGACCTGAGACCCACCACCATTCATAGTGTTCACAAACTCTAGGATTGGATTCTCCTTCTTCGATAGATTAATAGGTTCATTCCCGTTACTGTCCAATGTTGGGCTGCTTCTTACAGGCTCATATAGATACTGCGGTTTGTATGATGAACGATTATTTCTACTCAAAATATTTGGTCTTTCGGGAATATCTTTGATTTTGCCAGGAAAGCCAGATTTCATGAGTTTGGCTGAAGCGGACTGCTGGCTTGGTACCCTGTTGTATTTGTCCAGCTCCTTTGCTAAATTGGTGCGTGGTGTCGTAGGGGACACATATGGTGGGTAGTTGTAATTTTCCAAGTCTAGTTGTTTGGTAAGTATCATTGGTCGAAGTACCCTGTCAGAGCTCTGATCTCCAATTTTCTCTGATGGCCCTGTGAAATAAAGAAAATACCCTCTTACTCTGTTCATACCCCTACAAAATACTATTAAGGAATTTACTATTATACAAATGGTTTTGTGTTCATACGCTTCTAGCCCTATCACAATAATCTATGTCATCTAAAGACTCATAAGTCAAAACTAGGAAAGTTTTGAAAGTAACATTTTATAGAGATTGTACATTGATGAATGATATCATGTATTAATGATTTCTCAGTTGTATGTTTACCTTAATGTAAATAATCATATGAAATGAATATATAGATCACTTTAACATGAAATAAATATCAACTGATTCTCCGTAACTGATCATCTGAACAAATATAGCAACTGTCTATAACATGCTTCCCTGGAAAAAATTTTAATTATAAAATGCAGTCCTAGATGTTGAAGAAATGTTCGTTTTTATTATGATTAAAATCATGATCATTTTTGAAGAAATGTTCGTTATTATGACTATAATCATGATCATTTTTGAAGAAATGTTCGTTATTATGATTAAAATCATGATCATTTTTTAAAGAAATGTTCGTTATTATGACTGAAACCATGATCACTTTTGAAGATATATTCATTATCATGACTAAAATCATGATCATTTTTGAAGATATATTTGTTATTATGACTAAAATCATGATCATTTTTGAAGATATATTCATTATTATGACTAAAATCATGATCATTTTTGAAGATATATTTGTTATTATGACTAAAACCATGATCATTTTTGAAGATATATTTGTTATTATGACTAAAATCATGATCATTTTTGAAGATATATTCGTTATTATGACTAAAATCATGAGCATTTTTGAAGATATATTCACTATTATGACTAAAATCATGATCATTTTTGAAGATATATTTGTTATTATGACTAAAATCATGATCATTTTTGAAGATATATTTGTTATTATGACTAAAATCATGATCATTTTTGAAGAAGTGTTCGTTATTATGATTAAAAAACCATGATCACTTTTGAAGAAATGTTCATTATCATGACTAAATCATGATCATTTTTGAAGATATATTTGTTATTATGACTAAAATCATGATCATTTTTGAAGATATATTCATTATTATGACTAAAATCATGATCATTTTTGAAGATATATTTGTTATTATGACTAAAACCATGATCATTTTTGAAGATACGTATATTCATTATCATAAATAAAATCATGATCATTTTTGAAGAAGTGTTGTTATTATGACTAAAACCATGATCATATTTGAAGATATATTCATTATTATGACTAAAACCATGATCATTTTTTAATTGATTACAAATTTTCAACCTCCCTACACATATTATGGCTGATGAGGGTTAGAGTGAAAACTTATAGATGTAAGATGAACATAAGGTTTAAAATGCAAAACCCAAATTTGTGCTTTCACACCATTTTCCAGCCAACAATTATTCTGATTTTCTTTACATTCACACTTTTACCAGTATCCATCTGTGAAGGAGTCAAGATGGCCATCTTGAAGTCACCCATTGGAATGAAATGACAAACAAGGCATTAACATGCAAAATATCACCACCTGCCATTTGTTACAGATGCCAAATCCGGAACAACAACTGCCAAACACAAGATGCTACCATAAAACAAGGCACAGGACGTGAACGAGATCACACCATCAAATAGGCAGACACTATGAACCAGGAAAACTGTTCTCCTATTATGTTTACAAATTTCAAGAACAAGAAACAAGATTTTTCAAAAAACCTTCAAAATGGCCACCAGAAAACAAGATGGCCGACCAAAAGTTAATCAGCTCTAGTACTTGATATCCTCTATCATTTGTGTAAATTTGAAGGAAATCCGATGAGCGGTTTTCCTGAAATGGTGATGACAAGATTTTTCGAAAAACCTTCAAAATGGCCACCAGAAAACAAGATGGCCGCCCAAAAGTTAATCAGCTCTAGTACTTGATATCCTCTATCATGTGTGTAAATTTGAAGGAAATCCGATGAGCGGATTTTCTGAAATGGCGATGACAAGATTTTTCGAAAAAGCTTCAAAATGGCTGCCAGAAAATAAGATGGCCGCCCAAAAGTTAATCAGCTCTAGGACTTGATATCCTCTATCATTTGTGTAAATTTGAAGGAAATCCGATGAGCGGTTTTCCTGAAATGGCGATGACAAGATTTTTCGAAAAACCTTCAAAATGGCCACCAGAAAACAAGATGGCCACCCAAAAGTTAATCAGCTCTAGTACTTGATATCCTCTATCATGTGTGTAAATTTGAAGGAAATCCGATGAGCGGATTTTCTGAAATGGCGATGACAAGATTTTTCAAAAAATCTTCAAAATGGCTGCCAGAAAACAAGATGGCCGCCCAAAAGTTAATCAGCTCTAGTACTTGATATCCTCTATCATTTGTGTAAATTTGAAGGAAATCCAATGAGCGGTTTTCCTGAAATGGCGATGACAAGATTTTTCGAAAAACCTTCAAAATGGCTGCCAGAAAACAAGATGGCCACCCAAAAGTTAATCAGCTCTAGTACTTCATATGCTCTATCATCTCTGCGAATTTGGAGAAAATCTGATGAGCAGTTTTCCTTAAACGGCGATGACAAAAAGCGGGACGATCACGATCATGATCACGACCACGATCACGACCACGACCACGATCACGACCAGTATGACGACTATATCCCACCGATGGTGTGATAAAAAGGTTGAATACTATAATAATATTTCATCACATATAGTGGTGACATAAAAAATCATTTGCAATATAAGATGTTACATTTATACCAACCCTTTAATGCTTCACTTGCAGCTAGGTGCAGAAGTTCTTTATCTGTACAAGCAGCTAAAACTGCCTGCTTTCTATCCTTCCCCTTGGGTAACAACACTACAGTCATGCCTAGCAAAGGGAGTACAACCAATAACCACAACAGCCAACATAGAACATAACGAAAAATGAAAAAGAAAATACAACATGACTTTAACTACTAATAAGTAATAATAACTAGACATGTAAATTGAACAAGTTCAATTTAAGACTCCAGATTTAATACTTTTTTTTAAGCTGAGTCATCCAGAATACTTGTAAGCTGAGTCATCCAGAATAAGCTGATCGAGTCAGCTAGAATTTAGACATTTAGACAACTCTCAATTTTTTATCTTCGACTCCATTGGCTTAACATGGGGATATCATCATATCGACTTTTCGAGACTTCAAACCGCTATAACTATCTAACCAGAAGTTAGATTGAAATTTGGTTTAAAGATTCGGACTCCTGAGAAAATTCTACCCTTAATTCATAACTCATATGTAAAATTTGGAGAATTTTTTATTTTGACCTACTTTTCGGACACCATATCTCAAAAGTGGGTCAAAATACTCTCTGACGGCAAAAGGCTAACACTATTAGCCCACTCTTTGCTACCTGTATACAAAATTTTGAAGCAAATCCTAAAAGTGTAGTGCCAGAATTGCAAAAATAAGGAAAAACTATGTATTTGACCTAGATTTTGACCTAGGGATTTTGGTGTCCAAATTTTAAAGCTAGATAGCCTTCCAGGTCCCCTTCTTTTATAGACTTTCAGAATCTTAAGCTGTACTCAGTCCTTATCTGGTATTTTACACTTCAAAAAAATCTTTTTTCTCATTGACATAACATGGGGCACCAAAATTAGCGATTTTTGAGCTTTCAAAACGCCATAAGTTCCCAACGAAAAGTCGGATTGAAATTTGGTTTGCAGATTCGGATTCCTGAGAAAATTCTACCCTTAACTCATAGCTCATATGTTAAATTATGAGAAATTTTTATTTTGACCTACTTTTCGGACACCATATCTCAAAAGTGGGTCAAAATACTTTCTGACGGCAAAAGGCTAACACTATTAGTACACTCTTTGCTACCTGTATACAAAATTTTGAAGCAAATTATTAAAGTGTAGTGTCAGAATCGTAAAAATAAGGAAAAACTATGAATTTGACCTAGATTTTGACCTAGGCATTTTGGTGTCCAAATTTTGAAGCTAGGTAGCTTTTGAGGTCCCCTTCTTTTATAGGCATTCATTATGTTAAGCTGTGCTCAGTCTATATCTTGTATTTTACACTTCGAAAAAGTCTTTTTTCCCATTGGCTTAACATGGGCACCAAATTTAGCGATTTCAAAACGCTATAGCTTCCGAACCGGAAGTCGGATCAAAATTTGGTTTGCAGATTTGGATTCCTGAGGAAATTTTACACTTATTTCATGACTCATACGTTGAATTTGGAGAACTTTTTCGTTTGACCTACTTTCCGGACGCAATATCTCAAAATCGGTAGAAGTAATCAAAAAACTAATAACTCACTGTCGAATCGTCTTTTTCTTGGCTACACGTTAAAAAAAAAATTTTGAAAAAATATTGAAAAATGACAAAGATAATTCACAAAATGATAATTTGACCTAGATTTTGACCTTTGACCTAGATAAAAATTTGACCTAATTTCCGGGAAACTAGGTCTCATTACCTTTCTAACTATGTAAGCAGATTTCAGAAAGTCCCTCTAGTTGCTGAGAAATCGCGGAAAGAAAGAATAATAAGAAAACTGGCAAAAGCAATAGACTCCAGATTTTCAATCTGGAGTCTAATAAGGAACAACATACAAAATCAAAATTGATATTAAATAATCAAAAGATGTAGATTAAATTAATTCAAAATCTTCCATATTGAAATACATCGTTTGAAAATTCATTCAGGATACAGTACATTTCAACATTAATCTCATACTCCTGATTAATGCATTACTATTCACAGGTTCAGTAGTATGGTAGGATGTGTTGGAATGTTCTATAGTGTGACATTTGCGAAATGCATGGTGAGGAAACAGTGCAACATTAAACATGCAAATTAAACCCCTCCCCTATAATATTGAGTCGTATGTGTAATCCACCAGACCTAGAGTAAAGTCAGTCTAACATACAGCTGACCCATTTTGTTCATTTAAGAATTGTGCATTGTGAACTGATTATCATTTTTCAAAAAGGTGTTATTTCAGACTTTGCACAAGATTCACATAATCAAGTTTAGGAAACACCTGAGTAGAATCAGCCACAATACATTGAGTCTTGGGCTTAAATTCTTTTCACACACTGTACTGCAAAATATTTTCTATGAAATCATCTAAAAGATGCGAATCACTAAAGGAACATATTTTAAATGAAACTTTTGCAAGGGTCAAGTTGGCAAAGTATCAATTTCAATCTGTAGAGTCAAGTTGTCACTTTGAAAACAATTTAACAAATGATCTTGGGTGGATTATTTGGATTTGCTAGAATAGCCATGTGCGAATTCATAACCATTCAATAGTCAATACATATGGACCAAATACTTATCTGATTAGTTTTTGGGCAGTGCACTGCACTGTACCAAGCAAAAATGCACAACGGTAAAAATTCATATGAAATATGTAATCCTTAAAAACATGACACTAAACACCATGCATTTCTCTATCACACATTACAAAAACTACATCAATTTACAAAACAAACAATAGCATTATCTATCATCTATTACTATAACATGACTTCTAGATATCAGAATTATCAAGATAAATTCTAAAATTGATTCAAATTTTATTTCATCCTTTTTGTTCATTTGAACTGATAAGTCATGTTATAATTGTAATAAAAGACCTCAGAGCAAAGTGTATGTTGGTGGATATATCCCCCTTATACCTTCATACAGCTGATAGTACCACTTATTCTCTCTGCTTATTTGGGTACACAGTCTTTTGGATGATATTATTGGGGTATATTCAACAACATACATACAGCCTGTTTGTCAGTTTATGTTCCTTATATAGTATAGTAGGAACAAGGGGTTCCCATGCACCCATAAGGTGTGAATAAGTTACATACATTTTTGTAATCCCTAGGGTGTCTATTTAATGAATTCATTTGTTAACATTGCCAACTAATGTCCCATAGTACTTTTATGGTGCCATTCAGTTACCATGGTTACGCATCTTTAGACATCTTACCTTGGTATCTTAAATCATTTGTAGCTCTGTCATTATTTGGTCTATAGAAATGATATTGGTACCAAATTGAACCTCATTAAATTTCCAATAAATTTCTGATATTCAATTATGCAAATTATCTAATTTGCATAAATTATGACGTCATCAATCTATTTTTGGTTCAGAATTTTCAACTATAGCAACGAATCTATTAGAACTGAGGCCGTATGGCAAAATTTCTGAAAGGTTTTGTCCTTTATTCTATTAGTAAAAGGTATGAGCAACATAAAAATGAAAACAGATTCAAAATTGAATCAGTATTACGAAAGTTACGTAACTTTCGAGGCAGCTATCGTGAATGTCATTATTTGACAATAATATACATTACGTCTTACCTTGGAGTCTTGAATCAATGTAGCTTCGCCATTATTTGGTCTATAGAGATGATATTGGTATCTGATTAAACTTTATTAAATTTACTATATGGTTACAATATTCAGTTATGCAAATTAGCTAATTTGCATTAATTGTGACGTCATCAATCCATTTTTGGTTCAGAATATCCTAGTATAGCAACATATCTATTAGAACTGAGGCCGTATGACAGAATGTGTGCATAGTTTTGAACAAATATTTCACTCTATTGAGGTGAATACCTGTACATCTTTCACAAGTGATATTCCACGAAGCCCGAAGGGCAAGTGGAATATCACCTTGTGAAAGTGCTACAGGTATTCACCGAAAATAGAGTGAAATATTTGTTTTATTATATCACTGTCTAGCAAAACATCCCTAATATTATTAAGTCATAGGTTAACATTGAAATACATTGAATCTACTCGGTTCGTCTGCCATTTTGACTTACACTGAACTAAATTATTTACACTGAACGAAAACAAAATCTTTGAAAATTCCCGGGAGCGTGGGATATCGCTAGATATCTCACGGTTGTCTTATCTGATTAGCATTGCCATTGAATATCGCCAGATATCCCACGACATGTGACCCGATTTTGACCAATCATACTGCCGCTAGCTAGGTTGTGATATAATAATGTCCCTTATTTGATGAGTGGGAGATATAAGCAACATTAAAGAGACAACAAATCTTCAAAATTGGATCAGAATTAACAAAATTATCCAGCTTTGGAGGCAGCTACTGTGAACATCATTGTTTGACAATTATAAAAAGAATATTAAATTAACAAAAAAAGTAACAACCATAGTTGTTTCAATCTTATTGAGTAAAAATGTGCATGTATTGAACTGAACTAATAAGTATGTGGAAAGGTTACATGTATTTTGACTATCATTCACAGGGGTCAAAACGGTTATCTCGACCCTGTATATTAAAGATCCAATTTTATAATTTTCCATGCACTTTCAATGATTCATATAAATAGTATACATATAGTCTGATTTTCATCATATTCTTGATTCTTAAAGCATCTGAAGTATAAAACATGATTAGAAGTGAAGATGATTCATCATATGGTTTATGTAATATTTCTAACATTTCAGATGCTATGGTAACATCACTTGATAATGAGGTTTTTACATTTCAGGTTCTTAATGAGTTAAAAGAAAGTTATTCTCCCTTTGCTTTAGAGAAAAATGGTCACATGAATTTGTTAAAAAAAATTATAACTTAATTTAACCCCCTCCTGACAGCCCCCATATTTGAAGATTTTGGTGAAACCTGGCAAAATACATTAATTATTATGTTCCAGAAGCCCCCAGAAGCTATATGATGGCCCCCAGTGGCCCCAAGAATCTATACAGGGGCCCCAAGTGGCCCCCAGAAGGTATACGATGGCCCCCAGAAGCTATACAAGGGCCCCCAGAAACTATACTGTGGTCTCCAGCAGCTATATGGTGGCCCCCAGTGGCCCTCAGAAGCTATATGATGGCCCCCAGAAGCTAAGTAGTGGCCCCCAGGAGCTATATGGTGGCACCCAGAAGCTATACAGGGAACCCCAGTGGCCCCAAGAAGCTATACAGCAGCCCCCAGAAGCTACACGATGGCCCCAAGAATCTATATGATGGCCCCCAATGGCTCCCAGAAGCTATACATGGCCCCCACTAGCCCCTAGAAGCTATACGGTGGCCCCCAAAGCTATATGGTGGCCCATTGGAGACACTGTATAGCTTCTGGAGGCCATCGTATAGCTTTTGGAAGCCACTGGGGGCCCCTGTATAGCTTCTGGGGGCTACAGTACAGTTTCTGCAGGCCCTTGCATAGCTTCTGGGGGCCATCGTATAGCTTCTGGGAGCCACTGTAGGCCCCTGTATAGCTTCTGGGGGCCACTTTATAGCTTTCGGGGCCACTGGGGGCCACCGTATAGCTTCTAGGGGCTACTGGGGGGCCTTTTTTAGCTTCTGGGAGCCATTGGGAGCCACCATATAGATTCTGGGGGCCATTTTGTAGCTTCTGGGAACCACCATATAGCTCCTGAGGGTCACTATTTAGCTTCTGGGGGCCATCATATAGCCTATGAGGGCCACTGGGGGCCACCGTATAGCTTCTAGGGGCTACTGGGGGCCCTTCACATCTTCTGGGAGCCATTGGGAGCCATCATATAGATTCTGGGGGCCATCATGTAGCTTTTTGGGGCTCCTGTATAGCTTCTGGGGGCCATCATATAGCCTATGAGGGCCACTGGGGGCCACCGTATAGCTTCTAGGGGCTACTGGGGGCCCTTCACATCTTCTGGGAGCCATCATATAGATTCTGGGGGCCATCATGTAGCTTTTTGGGGCTCCTGTATAGCTTCTGGGGACCATCGTTTAGCTTCTTGGGGCCACTGGGGTCCCCTGTATAGCTTCTGGGAGCCACCGTATAGCTCCTGGGGGCCACTAATTAGCTTCTGGAGGCCATCATATAGCTTCCGAGGGCCACTGGGGGCCACCATATAGCTTCTGGAGACCATAGAATAGTTTCTGGGGGCCCTTGTATAGCTTCTGGGGGCCATAGTATAGCTTCTGGGGGCCACCATATAGCTTTTTGGGGCCACTGGGGGCCCCTGTATAGCTTCTGGGTGCCATCGTATAGCTCCTGGGCGCCACAGGGTTTCCTGTATAGCTTCTGGGAGCCACCGTATAGCTCCTGAGGGCCACTATTCAGCTTCTGGGGGCCAACATATAGCTTCTGGGGAGCACAGTATAGCTTCTGGGGGCCACTTTGGGCCACTGGGGGCCATCATATAGCTTCTAGGGGCTTCTGGAACCTAATAATTAATGTATTTTGCCAGGTTTCACCAAAATCTTCAAATATGGGGGCTGTCAGGGGGGGGGGGGTTAAATTAATTAAGTTATAATTTTTCCAAACAAATTCATGCGACTATTTATCTCTAAAGCAAAGGGAGAATAACTTCCTTTTAACTCATTAAGAACCTGAAATGTAAAAACCTCATTATCAAGTGATGTTACCATAGCATCTGAAATGTTAGAAATATAACATAAACCATATGATGAATCATCTTCACTTCTAATCATGCTATATACTTCAGATGCTTTAAGAATCAAGAATATGAAGAATACGATGAAAATCAGACTATATGTATACTATTTATATGAATCATTGAAAGTGCATGGTAAATTATAAGATTGGATCTTTAATATACAGGGTCGAGATAACCGTTTTGACCCCTGTGAATGATAGTCAAAATGCATGTAACCTTTCCACATACTTATTAGTTCAGTTCTATACATGCACATTTTTACTCAATAAGACTGAAACAACAATGGTTGTTACTTTTTTTGTTAATTTAATATTCTTTTTATAATTGTCAAACAATGACGTTCACAGTAGCTGCCTCCAAAGCTGGATAATTTTGTTAATTCTGATCCAATTTTGAAGATTTGTTGTCTCTTTAATGTTGCTTATATCTTCCACTCATCAAATAAGGGACAAAACTATGCACACATTCTGTCATACGGCCTCAGTTCTAATAGATATGTTGCTATACTAGGATATTCTGAACCAAAAATGGATTGATGACGTCACAATTAATGCAAATTAGCTAATTTGCATAACTTAATATTGTAACCATATAGTAAATTTAGTAAGGTTTAATCAGATACCAATATCATCTCTATAGACCAAATAATGGCGAAGCTACATTGATTCAAGACTCCAAGGTAAGATGTAATGTATATTATTGTCAAATAATGACATTCACGATAGCTGCCTCGAAAGTTACATAACTTTCGTAATACTGATTCAATTTTGAATCTGTTTTCACTTTTATGTTGCTTATACCTTCTACTAATAGAATAAAGGACAAAACCTTTCAGAAATTTTGCCATACGGCCTCAGTTCTAATAGATTTGTTGCTATAGTTGGAAATTCTGAACCAAAAATAGATTGATGACGTCATAATTTATGCAAATTAGATAATTTGCATAATTGAATATCAGAAATTTATTGGAAATTTAACGAGGTTTAATTTGGTACCAATATCATTTCTATAGACTAAATAATGACAGAGCTACAAATGATTTAAGATACCAAGGTAAGATGTCTAAAAATGCGTAACCATGGTAACTGAATGCCGCCATAAAAGTACTATGGGACATTAGTTGGCAATGTTAACAAATAAATTCATTAAATAGACACCCTAGGAATTACAAAAATGTATGTAACTTATTCACACCTTATGGGTGCATGGGAACCCCTTGTTCCTACTATACTAATATTACATATAATCAAAACAAATAAACAAAATCTAGAACTTCTAATTGAACTAGTAAAAGCAATAATAAGATATGATCAAAATAATCAAAAAATGTACGACAATGTCAATCAAGATAATGTAGAGTATAAATAAACCCCTAATGATGCTACGAGAACTAAAAAACACATCTTCTGGACGAATTTTGTAAATTTGCAAATTGTCTATAATAGACTAAATAAAACAAAACTCATGTGGCAGCCGCCCAAATGACCACCCATCATCAAAATACGACAACAATATAGTACCTTTTCAAAGTGTGATAATAACTACCCCCTCCCTCCCTTTCAAACTATAAAATGCACGTGGGAACCAGCGTTGAGAAAATCTCTTGAGCGAAGTTAGTATATGTAACCTAGGGGTTTATTTGTACTTAAAAAATGGTGTTGGACTGTTACCTTCATTTTGCTTAGCTTTCTGAGCCGCCATCCGCCCCATGGCTGCCAATGGGCACCCAGATAGGCTGCAAATATACACAAATATATGATCATGTAGGAAAGAATTATTCTTTCAATCAGCGTTTACGTGACAGTTTTGAATGGGTCGATTTTTAAAATCTACATAATTTTAGGAACAGCCTGCCCCAGTGTGAAGTAAATATTTACAATGAAAGGAAAACATTGCTTCAATCGAACCTGTTAAATTTTAAAGTGGAATAGGAAAGTGATTTTCATGGAATTTTGATAACAAGATTTGATTTAAGTGACAACTGCCCAGACAAACAAATGGACACATGTCCATTAGCAGAAGACGAAGATAACAAAAATTCTGAAAATTCAATTTCTGGGTGATATTTTAAACACATCAATATGATAAAACTTAAGAAAGCCAAAAATGGTTCACTATGGATTGTTGCCAAGCCTTTGTCTGCCAGTTTTTGTTGTTTGTGAAACATATATACAAGGAGTGGAGAATACAAGGAGTGGAGAATACAAGTAGTGGAGAATACAACTTACCTTCTGTGTGTAGTCCTATTGCTGTTAATGTGACCTCGACCATTGCATCCAGGAGTAGGGCAGCGTAGGATATAATTAGCAGAACCTGGTAACATTTCAGTGTCCCCGATTTTTATCTTCCTTGGGCATCCAGATAAACTGCAAGTGGATAATACAGTACATTAACCAATCATGTAGGTTGAAACAAAGGCGGTAGATATAAGACAGGACTCAAGATTCAACATAGTGTGTTCATTTTCAAAACTTACAAAGGACATAGGCTCAACTCCTTGCCTTCAGTCAGAGTGAATTTTGTGGAAAATAGAAAATTTGAAGGCTTTAAAAACATTATGCATTTCTGCTTCAGCAAGGAATAACAAGGCATTAACATGCAAAATGTCACCACCTGCCATTTGCTACAGATACCGAACGCCAACCACCGAATCCAAACAACAGATTTAAATACAAGAATAGGGCCAAGGTGTCACTCTGCTTCTCCCTTTTTAAAGTAAGTTGAGTAATGTCCTGTATGTATAGCTTACCTCCTATGATGTGAGTAGAGTCCAGTTATGTGTCCAGTACCATCACAGTCTGCTGTGGGGCACTTTCCGGCATACGGCTCACCTGCAATATACGCACCTATAATGACAATTTTCGCCATTTTAAATCAGAAGGATAAGGGTTATAAGTTAGTTCAGTTATTTTGCTAATGATCTGGTTTCATAGCCAACCCATAGCTTTTGAAAGACAATTAACACTTTCAGCAACCGGATCAAGAATATATTATAATGGTAATTTGGTCACATGATTCATCATTAACCAATCACATTCATTTTAGCTTACCTCCATAGGTCTCATGTTTAGGAGTTCCATTTTGGGAGCTATTCTCTAAACCGAGATTTGTAATCTGAGTCGCCTCTGTTGCAGCAATAGCCATGGGTTCTTCCTGGGGACCGGACTCTATCAGAGTTGTTGGAACGGTCCACTCAGCCAGTACAGTAAATCCAGGGTTAACAGAACCATTTTCAGCTGTGGGCTCAACTGATCGTTCATCTTTGATACACACCTCTTCACTGATGTTACTCTGGATAACATCTCCAGGAGGGTTATGAACCTGCATGTTAGTGTTTGAATCCTCATTGGGTCTGTTATTCAGTACAACATTTTGAACTGGTAACTTCACTGTTTGAACTTGGAAATTCGAGTTTTGAGGTTCCAGGACAGGAGGTGTCAATTCCTCATTAGGACAGACTGTATTTACAGGGATAACCTTCATTGATGTATTTTGATTTTCCTTTTCACTGTCTGATATTGTTGTAGCTGGTGCAACATGTGAAACATTGGAGTCATTTATGTTTGATTGTTGTTGTATGGCACTTTGTAGATTATGCTGAGCCAGGGTGCTCTCAGCTATAGCACCAAGTACTGCAAGGGGGTCAGATACGACTGTCTGTTTCTGAGCATCAATATTGGACAAATTGGAGAGTATCTCAGCACCTTGAATGTCAGCGCCTTCTTTCTGTTTCATTATTGCCTGAGATTCCAATTCTGCAAGCTCGCTACTTTGCTGTTGAACCAGTGACTGGATCTGTGTACATTCCTGTTCTATCTTTAACAATGTTTCCAGTTCATCACTTGTACTGGATGTGTTGAGGATGTCTGGTTTGCCGTTGAGGTCCTCCTGTATTCCTGAGTCTTGACTACTATGCATTTCAGGAGCTATATCTTCCAATGCAACTGCACCATCTACATTATCATGAACAGCTTTGGAATTAATACTGCCTTCCTCTGCTTTAACATAATCCATATCATCAACACATAATTTAGATATTTCCTGCTTCTTTTTGGATTTCTTCGATTTCTTTGATTTTCCCTCCTTGAACACATCTTCAAAGTCCTCTAATTCACCAGAGAGATGTCTCAATGCTCTCTCAGTCTGTCTTATACTTTTCAGATCCTCATCTAGATCTGTGGAGCTATTAGAAGCATCTTCATCATCTGCTGATTCCACCTTTTTATCCCCATCATCCCTGATAGGGACTTTTTCAATTTGTTTCTTAGGGACACTTGGAATTTCCATGTCAAACATGAGTTTTTTAGCAACAGAATGAATTGTAACTTCAGACTGTGATTCAACAGAGTTGTCTAATGATACACTCTCCTCTGTGGTTGTTGCATTGTCATCTTTTTCACCATATTCTGTTTCCTTGAAGTCATCTGTTACGTCTTCCAAGGCAGTAAGATCTGTCTGTTCATCTCTGTCACTATATGGACTCTCAACATCTTTTTCAATGGTAACATTTGTGACTTCTTCTGTGTCAACAGAAACACTTGCGACACCAATGACTTCCTGACTGTTATCATTAGTATTAATGACTTTACCCTCAGTGAGATTTTTATCTTCTACATCATTTCCCAGTCCATTGGATTGTTCAGTCATGGATTCAACAGTTGTTGTGGATATGTCATCATTGTTAGTTACACTGTCCTCAAATTGTTCAATATGGGCATCAATATTTCCATTGCCGTCATTGTCAGATCCATTCCCATCATCACCATGCTCCTGGTAGTCATTATCAGGGACTGTTTCCCCACTTTCATCTTGATTCATACTGTCATCATCAAATGATTTCATCTTAGAATCTTCTTGAGGATTTTCAATCAGAGGTGTACCTTTATCTACGACAGTCTCACTGACATCCTCCTCTGGCTTAACTTCATTTTCTTCACTTTCCTTGGGCTTGACTGCCTCTGAATAATTTTCCTTATCACTGTCCTTATGTTTAACCTTCTTAGCTTCCTCCAGTTCAGGTTTATTTGTTTCTTGTTTAGCTTTAGGACTGGATTTTCCCCTACTCTTCTTAGGGGAAGGTTCCTCATCAGACTGGGTTGGGATGTTTGGTGTCTTTCTCTTCCGTGGACTAGATACACTGTGGACTCTGAATGGACAGCCTTGAAGCCTAAAAACACCAACATTGTCATATTAATCAAGTGACCTAATAATTGCATCCTTGTAACTCATACTCAATTATAATACAATATGTTTGATTTAATGTTTACTTATATAAATTGAATTGAATTAAAAAAGGAGGACTTTTAATCTCTTGAATCCCAGGCTCTGAAATCAGTTGAAACCAGAGAATTTTTCATTTTTGTCACCTTTTGACATTTTACTATATACCAATACAACTTTAGATGCTCAACTACGTAAAATTAGATGGCAGAGATCATTTCGACATGTTTTAAAACAATTTTTGTGTAAATTGGATGAAACTTGTTCAAATAAGAATAATTTTAGTGAACAATTTTGTGACAGATTTTCTCATCACTCTGGGTATCAAGGTCATTTCTGAGGTGACGAGAAGTCTCGTCACTCCAGGTAGTCAAGAGGTTAATAAGAAGAGAACCATTATTTGTAAATGAATGATTAAGTAATGGGCATTTCTGTTGTATGTTGTAAGCTGTATGAATAAGAGTATTAGGTAAATAGTCTACTTACGTCCTATGCCGGGCAAACTTGCCAGTGACATGACCTTGACCTGTGCACCCTGGAGTTGGACACCTGCAAACAGAATTACAAGTTCCACTACAATTTAGTTCTGAACAAAACAAACAACATTAAGTTGTCCAAATATTTAGAGAATTTCATTAGGAAAAAAATGACTCCAGACTAATACTCCCCAATGATTTATTGAAAGACTTATATTGTTGTAAGTAATTTTTGTTCTGTTATTGATCGTTATTTCTTGAGTTACTATTCACTAGTGGAATTGTTTATTAGTAGAACAAGTTTTGAGTCAAGTTAAACCTATAAAAATTGGATACTGTATAAATGGTATTAAGCTCATGCCAAACTAAACTAATCTTTGTTATATTGTATTCAGGGGTTTCATTAGCAGTAGACAACAGGCGATTTTTACCAGTTGTTTTCACAAAATCGCCTGCCTGTTGTTTTTAGGGACTTTTCAACTTTTTCATGTTAAATTTTTGATTTCCGTCAGTTTTGCCTGTTGTTTTCACTTATTTAACCGTCGTGAGAAATTCTAGGGAAACCGCTACTATAATTTTGTTTTGTCCTTGTTTCACCTGAGTAATGATATCAAATTTTTATAATGTACGATATAGTATATGGTAAAAAGACGCGACGTATTATGCCATAATAAAAATTGAAACCAATGCCTTTCGATCTAATAGGAAAACCTAATGAATTAAGTCATGTGATATATGACAGTTCTAATGTGGATCTAATCTTCAAATAAGTAGGATCTTCAATGTCATGAGTTACAATCTACTGAAAATTAATATGATCATTTTCTTGTTAGTGTCAGATCAACCTGTGTATTCAACTAGCTATTGGTTTTAGTTTAAGGTTTGTGTCATATAGGGGGATAACAAATTGCAAGCAATATGTTCACAGAAAGGCTCAATACCCAATACACTCATCCTAAATTATTTTTAATTCATAATGATATGTATCTTACACAATCGATATGTAAATAATTTCACAATTTTGAACGTGACGGATAAGGCAGAGGTTTTTGGACAGTCATATGTCTGTATAAAAAGTCTGACTGCGTTTATTCCCGAAAAAGGTGCGTCAAATATAGTTAAACAAAAATGTTGACAATCTATGGTCTCTACCCCTGACCACAGTTAACGGTTCAGTGCTTTTCCTTAACATCCCACATAATTGCCTCCAGTCTGAAACAATTTTGCACTTGTTGGCGTTTTCAATATACAAGAATTGAGGGATATAAATCCTGTCTTAGATACAGCTCCTGTCCTTACTGGTATACAAAGCCTCATTGATTTACAGTCACATTTCACATTCAAGTTTAATACAATTTGGCAGAACATTTACCATAAATTCTCTTCAGATTCAGCTCAGCTGGGTCACATTAAATGAGAGGCAATGTATTCTTGCTGATGGACTGTCTATGAGTTGATATTATGTTCCATGATATTAGGTCTAATATATGAGCGGCAAATGGCATAATAAAATATAGGAAAACTTGGATCAGATACTTATTATGGTTATCAGCACATTTTGATAATACATGGGAGATTGATGTGATTTATTAGAACATTGGTAAATAACATCTATTGGAATGACAAACCGAACTAATCAGGTCTTAGGGAGGACAAGAATTAATCTACACAAGTATTGAGTGTTTGCATTTTCCTGGGAATTTCTTCCAGATACATCCGGTATCTCCTTTCATATCTCTAATATTGTGTAGGATCCACTTGTAAGGCCAATAGACCAAGGTAGAACAAGGTGGCTCGTAGCCAGGATTTGCCAAGGGGGGTACACTTTTAAAAAATCCCAGGGGGGTTCACTCTAGACAACTTTGGCCGAAATCAGAATGGTGTAAAACTGCATGATTTTGAAATACTTTTTTGGCCAGGGCTCGAACCCCTTGAACCCCCCCCCCCCCTCGCTACGGGCCTGAAGAGTTTCCACCAAGTAGGTATTTTAGGTCTTCTAGGTCAGTTAGAGGGGGCAAACTATTGGCAACTCTTGATTTTTTACATTGAGATGTGTAATTCATGTTTATTTACGTATATACTGATTCTGACTACATATGTATTTTGATAAAGGTGTTAATCTGTTAATTTCATAAATTAATAAATATTTACATATATGGTAAGAAACTTAGAGTTAATATTGGGATCGGGATGAAATTGTCAAAGTTGCTGATTGGTTAAAAAGCTGTCCGTTAAATGAAACAGGATAACTCCTATATTATAATTTATTTATATCAATTCAGATAGCTTTTTTCAAAGTAGAATAAATATATTCCAAAATGGAAATATCAAATCTAACTAAACCTAACGGACTGGCACTTTTTAAAGGTGCTGTGGTTACCTACAGTGAGTATTAACTGTACTGTGCTGTATAATTGAAAATCATACCCTGTAAAGTCGACTGTGTTTTCAATTGCTGTTTTGCTTCTAGTTCGCTTGGCTTCAACCAGAGAATCATCCTGAAGAAACAAATGAAATTAAAATGACTGGTTGCTATGGCAGAATGAAACCATCCATATTAGGATAATTTCTTCTAATGTGACGACCTTTTGTAATTATTTCTGATGTGACTGAATATGCAGTAAACAAAATATACAGGGTGACACAAAAAGTGTAACACATTAATTTATGATAACTGTATGATATCATCACTAATTTATTCGGTAACCGATCTCTCTAAACATGAGAAGATTCCATCAGAACTGATTTATTGCAAAATATAATGAGTTATATTTTGATTTTAGGGATACATTTTGAGATACATGTATATTATCGGTCCAAGCACAGTCTCAAAAACATAAAAATATTCCTCAACAAAAGGTTCACTGCAAATATCTTGAGCCTAAACTAACCCTCTCTACTTACCTTAGGACTCTTATTCATATCTGTATCATTGCTACTGTTGCTGTCTGATTCTGAAAAACATGAAACATACAAACACATTATAACAATAGTTACTTTCCCAATAGGACTTTACAACTGAAGAAAAAAAACACTTATAAATAAAACATTAATGGAAGCACTCTCAAAGAGTAGCTACATTTCAACCACAGTCTGTCATGCTAAATGAACATTGTCCGTGAATATGTGATAATACCCGAATGATATCCTATACATTCAAGGCAATTATCTTTATAGTGATGACTGATGAGCTCATTTCAATGAGAAAATACAATGGTCTAAATCTTTCTATAGTTAAAAATGTGCAGTATATTGAAATTATATTGCTTATTGCAGAACATCTGATTCTAGGTATATCTATTTATCCCATGGTTAGAAGGATATAGATCGAATATCACGTGAAGATATAATTGATACGTGGATGAAGATATCATATTTTAGCAAACATTTCCCAAACCATCGAATATCACTTTTGAAACCATCGAATATCACTTTTTGAAATGTGATATTCGATGGTTTTAAAAGTGATATTCGATGGTTTCAAAAGTGATATTCGATGGTTTTGATTTTTTCAATTTTTTGTTCATTCAGCAAAACTATTCTTTATATTTTTTATTTTTTTGGATCTAGTTGTTACGGCGTTCGCATTAAATACAAACCACCCTGTTACGTCACGTTTATGACGTTCGTTGACTTATTGCAATCAAAATGTCAGACAAAATGGAATTTTCATTGGAAGGCGTACATTCAATATTCAATGTTCGCTGGATAATAATTCCCCATGGGATAAACGGACAATCCTATGGTTTTTCAAAAATATCACTTATATCCACTCATGGATATCGGTATCTTCACTCATTCGCTGCGCTCACTCGCGAAGATATCAATATCCACTCATGGATATAAGTGATATTTTTTCAAAACCATAGGATATTCCTATAATATTTAGATATAACCAGAACAACGGCAACGCCAAAGCGTAGCGAATCCCATCAAACAAAAATGGCTGGCATTTTTACAAACGAAGCGCAAATATCATAAAACAACACACCAGAAAGGCCACCATTTTCAAAATGGTTGCTCACTAGCCAAGTTGTCATCAGGAGAAATAATATGCTTTTAAGTAGCCACCTCTAAAATTTTTGAAAAATCGCACACGTACTTGTAAAATAACACACATAAAAATGGTGGCCATTTTTCAAAATGGCCGACTACTCCCCAAAGTTTTATTAGACAATGTGCCATGCTTAAAGTATTCACATATCAAATATGAACAAAATCGCTCCACTTCTTTTTGAGTTATAGTAAAATACGTTAAAATGGCGGCCATTTTTCAAAATGGCCACCTTCTACCAAAAGCATCATTAGAAATAGACGGTGTACCATGCTTATAGAATTCACATACCAAATATGAACAAAATCGCTCTACTACTTTTCGAGTTATAGTAAAATACGTTAAAATGGCGGCCATTTTTCAAAATTGTTTTCAAAATGGCCGCCTTCTACCAAAAGTGTCATAACACAGTGTGCCATGCTTATAGTATTCACATGCCAAATATGAACAAAATCGCTATACTACTTTTCGAGTTATAGTAAAATACGTTAAAATGGCGGCCATTTTTCAAAATGGCCGCCTTCTACCAAAAGTGTCTTTAGACAGTGTGCAATGCTTATAGTATTCACACATCAAATATGAACAAAATCGCTCCACTATTTTTTGAGTTACAGCAAAAATCGTAAAATGACTAGTAAATGCCGCCATTTTTCAAGATGGCTGCCATGTGCTTTTTTAATATCTACATTTGTAGCATTATTAATGTCCTTTATAATTTTTTTACATTTAAAACATATTGCTATTACAGTTTTACATATTGCACCTAAATTACTGTAAAATCGTCACTAAAATTGCCGCCATTTTGAAATGAGCGGCCATTTTGAAAATCGGCTTTCGAGCAGAACTTCTACCCCCATAGGGTATATGTGTACAAAATATGAACAAAATCGGGCCAACGGTATTTGAGTTATTGCCCGGACGGACGGACGGACGGATGGACGTACGTACGTACGTACGGACGGACGGAGGCGTTCCCTATATCCCTCCGAACTTCGTTCGATGGGATAATAATCTAATAATTAGAACCATACAGCATAATATAAAGTATTATATGAGCCTGGCCATAAGAAAATTAGTTCATATGACTTTTTCATTTTTAAAACTACTCTATTTTTATCTTCTAATTAAAATCGAAATTTATTGATACTGATCAAATAGTGGGAGGGGCTTCTCCATATAATTCACAACTAATCCATATTTTTGGCATACATTGTACCAATATACACTCACAAAAATCTTAGCTGTAAAAATGCATTAGTATGAACACAAATTGATTAATAAATCTTTCTAGGAAAAACTTTGAAATTATCACAGATCAGCCTTATATAATGATTCTGAATCAGTCAATGATGAAGTGTGAAATTATCATGAGTTTAGTAGAACTTGACAATTGTAAAACAAATTACATTGAAGCTAGGATAAGTTATTGGCATTTTCTTCTTTGATTCACATTTGCATTGGTATAATGACTACAGGGCCTACAGAATATGACTGAAAGATTTATTTAATGATGAGGAAACTTCTATGAATATAACTAGCCTAACTGGTAATAAGAACATGGAGCGACTTCCTTGAGGGGGAGGGATACAGGGCCAACCAGAAAGTTTCCTTTCAATTTTGAAATGAGTTGAAACCAAACGACAGATTTATTTTAATGTTAAGGTTTAAATTGAATTCTATTCAAGTTCTATCACTGTTTAACTATAGCTATATCTGCTTTAAATGAGCTTATCAGCCTTTTGCAGATTATTGATGTAAATGTAGAAGAACAGATATATTAACTGGCATATGTCCGTATATTCTCTCTTACTTCAAAAAGAGAATTTGTGATGAGAGACAATATTGTAATGAAGACAAATTAAATTAATCTCACCTCAATTTACTTTTCAGTGAAACCTGTAAACTTTGTTTAAAAGTGGAACACCTCTGTAGAACACCTCTGGTTAGTGGAACACTTTTCAGAGTTTCAAGACCAACTGACTTTATGTAAAATGAACCTCTGAGTGAACCACCTTCCAAGAAGCACATTTCTTAAAGGTACCAAAGGTGTTCCAATTAGACAGGTTTTACTGTACTTCATATTCTGCATCTAGTTACAAGACTAATGAACTTTTCAAACCTACTAACAGTGACACCATATGATATTAATAATAACCCTTTGTCCAGCTATATATAAATCACATTTCATTGGTACATTTATCAAATGTGCACCTTGAGGGCATACTTTTGCAGAACTTCATCTTGATAGTCTTCAAAAATCTTTATGAGGACACGTAGCAAAGTTTACTTTCTTGCCCTCCAGAATTGCATGCTATAGTTAGTTGCAGAAAGAGAAAATCAATAAATGTGTCATAAAACATTTGCAACTTTCTGTGTGATTAAGTTCACTGATAAAGCAGTATTAGGCTTTCTAGGGCATACACAAAAAAATCGTGGAATGATATTTCAGAAATTGTGAAATTTTTTATCAGACATAATATACGAGTCTCGACTATTTTCATGAAAAATCAACTTAAGTTATTTTGGCAATAGGCATTATCAAAACAAGGTGTTATATTTCCACAAATCAATGCATCAAGGATATCGTTAGTATGTGTACGAGACAGCAAAAACTGAAATCAATTGAAATTGTTACAATAACTATGTTATGTGACAGATCATATTTGACATGAAAAGGGGGTATCTTCCCATGAACTTCTTCTGATAGAGACTGCGAGACCTATAACTTATTTGAATAAACATTGTCAGTTTGAAAATAAACATTTTGTTTCTGATGTCAATGATTCTGGCGATAAAGATGATAACCCTATCCCTACTAAACGATCAATCCCTAAGGCAATGCAATAATACATTACATGAAGTTGTTATTTTTTATAGATATGCATTCTAGATATCATCAATTACTGGTGATTGCATTGCCAGAAATTTAATCCCCCGGCCTAGTTTTTCAGGGACCAAGGTTGCTATCTCTCTGAATGCCTGGTATTTTACATGATAATCTATTTAGCTGTATGGATAATCAGATTATGAGAACATTAACAGTTGAATTATCTGGATTTAATATTACAAATCTCATTGCTGATGATACTGAGGTTAGACCAGCACTCTTATCTTAGATTAGCCCAAAACAGCAGGTAAACCCAAAACATATGAAGCCACATCACCCTAAATTATATCAAGTTCTTATACAAGGCACTAACATCCAATATGCCAATATGTCACCACTTGCCATTTTTTACTAATGCCGACCGCGCTTAACACTGAACAACGTCCATAAAAAAGTTGGAGACTATAACAATATGTCACGCCTAATGGTTAACTTCCTACATAGTATTCTCCATTTCAACTAGTTGGAATGAAAATGGTGTCAACTATTTTCATTTTATTCAGACTAGAGCTGATTGGAGTTGTCCTCTTACAATATTCTAAAATGATTAATAACCATTACGTTGGCACTTTTCAGACTGGTTTCTGATTGTTTTTTAAGTAAGAAACAAAGTACATTACAAATGTTACACCTTAAGATAATAATAATAAAAAGATATCAGATTTCAGGTATAGAATTTGATGCATTGCCACAAAACATGACTAAGTAGGAAATTAAGCAACATAAATATATGGATGAACTTCACCATTCTAGTTTATCAAAGTCCCTCTTCATCTAATACTTGTGAGTACCTATTCCTTTAAGAGGTAGCCATGGCTTCGGAAATCACAATGGAACTACAGTGAAATCTGTGAAAATGTATTCTATTTAACCTCAATTTACTATAGTTAAACCTGTAAAGTGGAATACCTCTAGAAGTTGAACACCACTGTTAATAGAACACTTTTAAGAGTCCCAGAACCAACTGACTTAATGTTAAATTAACCTTTACAAGTGGAACAGCTCCGGAGTGG